AAATTTTCATAAATATGAAAAAAATATATATTCAAATTTTGCAAGATTAAAATTAAATTTTTAGTCATTGAAATATTAAACAAATATTTTTCTCTACTTGAGTACTTTAATTTCTTAAGTTTAGTATGTATATGCATCTATAATCGGATATTTTACTCCATTGGTGATTGCATGTGAGGGATCTTAATGAAACCCAGGGATACGTTTTTTTTAGTATATTTCGTCAACTAAAATGCAAAATAACGTAACATCACTTTTCTTAAGTTTACAGGCGAACAATATAATAGAAATCACTCACATTGAAACAAAATTTTAGTTTTGGTTATAAAATGGTTATATATTCGTTACATATTGGTTATATATTGGTTATATCTGCCTGTGGCAGCTTAAAATTTTATACTACATATACATATGTATATAATGTGATGTAATATTGATCAATAAAAAACTCAATTTCGATTTTTTGCTGATACTTTGTTTTGCATTTTAGGTGACGATATATACATATATGTATATATGCCTCATATATTATTTATATGTATACTGCTTGAGAAAATTAAAAATATTTATGAAACAAAATTTAGAGGCCTCTATATAGAAGTACATATATTCATATCATATAAATGTATGTATATTTACACATTTGTAATATATAATAGAGAAAGTAAAAATTTCAGTTCAATTGAATTAAAAAATAAAACAACAACACGCTCTGACCTCCATGGCCCCCGCACATATAGACCAACATGAGATAAGCGAGCGACATTCAATTCTATTAGAAGTCAATTGAAATCTTGTCAAATAAGAGCAAGACACTACATATTAAGAATACAAGCGGCTTAAAAAAATTCACCAGAAATAAATAAGTGCTTATGTATATAAAGTGACACCAATTTCAGAATTAAAAGCCGTTATTGCATCGACTACCGCATCGCCCCACCGCTTTCACTTACCTTAGCATTGATTTACGTAAGTAAATACGCAATTGAACGCCTTAATTAACACAAGTTCACCGCCTAAAACGAAAGGTTTCATTGAGAGTCGTTACACCGATTTATAGCAGAAATATATGCTAAAAAGCATATAAATGAAACTAACTGATTCATTTCACACCACTTTTTAACAAAGTGTGAGGAAAAATGTACGGAAACAAAGCGTTTTCTTGTTTTTGTTGGTTTGTAGAAATTTTTTATGACTCATGTCATACGAAGTTGCATGAATGGGGCTCCATTATAGCAACTTTTGGAGGTGAAATTGCGAAGATAAGTGAGATTTGGGCAGGAGGCTAAGGGTAAAGGAACATGAAGGGGCATTCGATGGCCGGGGTAGTGACTATTAATTGAGTTTAGACGAACCATCGCAAAATACTTTAAAATACATATTTTTTTGTTTCAAAATACTTCTTTCTGCATTTATATTAATCATGTTTTTATTTTTAAAACCCTCACAACATCACATCGTGACTTCATACATCCTGTGATCTGTGCATTTTGCAATTTTGTGATTGAGTTTTTAAAGTCGGTATTTATGCACATATGTATATACTAACAAATCGAAATGTTTTCTATAAAAAAATTAAAAATAAATGCTAGCACATTATAAATTCTGCATCATGTGATGTATAGTATTGCATGGTATGACTTTTACTTCGTAAAATATCAAATCAATTTATATCCAAATTTCAAGTGACTTCTGTTAAATTCCACTCAATAATAGTACTGCGTAGTTAACATATCCAATTTTTATACATTCTTTCAAATATATCACATCGCGCGATCTCGTATCATACGATCTGCACATAATTGAAGCTCTTGGAATAGCATATTTCCTTTAATATCGCTTTCTTTTAAAGACAACATGTCGTTTCTCACACGAAAGCTAAGCATAACCCTAGATTTTTAATCACGTGATCTATTTAATTTCATCATATGACTTCGCTAACATACAAATATTCTTGCTTTACATGAATGCATCATAGGATTTGTGTTACGGAACTATTATTGTTTCCATTTTTTTAAATTTTGGACATAAAATATCACGTGATATGGATCATGTGATCTGAGCATCACATCGTAGCAATATGTGTTCTAAGAAATTTTTGAAAATTAGTTTCAGGCAAGGTTTTCATAAAATTCCTAGCTAAATTACGCCTTTTCCGATATAAATATATAGTATAATCATGACATTACTTGACCTTGACTTCGTTGAGATTTGTGCATATCATATCCTAACGTATTATAACATTTTTAAAAACATTTCCGTGCTGCTTCTGTGTTTAAAATTTATAAATTCATTCTTGATGCCATCAATTCACATCGTGTGACCTATATCATGTGATCTGCACATCACATCACATCATCACTCTATGTCGTATATGAAAATTTTGAAATTTAAATTCACTTTCTTTGCGAGAGCATACAATTAAGTATTTAATTTAATTGCATCACTTTCTAAAATAAATGTGTAATCTAAACTACTCTTATTGACATCATATTCAATGATATCACAACACTTTCGATTTTCGCAAAATTATTATTTGCTTAAAAATGTTGTGTAATTATATTTAAATCCATTTTCGTGTTGCTTCTGTCTTAAAAATTTAGAAATAATTGCCGTCAATTAATTTGTCGTGATCTTCATCATGTAATCTTAAAATCAGACCATTGCAGATATTGTGGGATAATTTAATTTTATTATATTTTTTCAATAATATACCCATGTGCGTTCTTCGTGTTGCTTTTCTCTAGTCATAATTTACTGTTT